AAAAAATACTCCCAGATAGGCTGTAGGCTAGGATCATGTTTGGCCAATTTTGATAACAACTACACCCTAGCCCTCATTATTGGTAATGAAAATGAGTGAAATGATGTTTTTTCCAAAAAAATAAGTGGTTGAAAAATAAAGAAAATTTTTCAATTTATGTAATATTATTTTATGGAAGATTGTAAGATTAAAAATAGGAGAGAAAAAAATGAAATGTAATGGAATGAAAATTAATGGCAGCCAAACGGAGTTTTAAATTTAATTTTTAAGTAAATTCTTCTCATTTTATGACATGTTTCGATAAATTAATTTTTTTAGCTTTTATTACATAAAAAAAAATTATTTGCTCAAAAAAATAATGTTATATATATATATAGCCCTATACATATACAGCACTCATCTTGATGATAGTCAATTACATGACAATAGAAATTGTGTTGTATTTGAATTTCATTGAACAATAAATCAGTAGAATCCATTGTCAAGGTAACATCTAAACTAGTACCAAGTATTAATGGCTCTACAAACTACATTAGACAAGCTACGGTTAAAGTTGAGTTATGTTATGAGATTGTAGGTGAAATTTACTTAGCTTGTTATTTGTTTGGTCATTATTGCAATATACCTGGTTTTAAACTAATTTAGAAAAATAACTTGTTACATTTTGTCTACACTATACGCGTACTGCAAACATGTCGCAAGTAAAGGATAAGATCATTAAAGTTATATTAATTTGAATCTCTATAATTAATTTTAAAAGGAAAATTCACAAAATACACCATGTATATAAGGGATAAGTTTCGGCAAGACGATTCTATATACATGTGGTAGGATTGTTCATTCAAATAACGACATCTCGAATCCCAAGTCATTCAAATTGTTACACTTCAGCATTGCATACTATTTCTCTCTCTTACCACCTTGGATGTTGAGATGTCGCAATTTTAGATGTTGCGAATTTAGTATATGATCCTATCACATGTACCTATAAAAATGTTAAATAGAAGTTTTTATCTGTATTGTAGGTTGTAATTGCACTTTACATAGCGTGTTTTATAAATTTACATTTTACATACTATATATAGTGGTCACAAAAAAACACCATTTACTATAAATTTTACATATATGCCATTATAGATAATTAAGCATACAAATATGCCTCAATTGACATAATAAATCACATTATGTTTTACCTTGTGCAACGTTTACATACTATTTTCTAATTATTGATTTTCATTAATTTTTCTTTCTTTAAAAGATAAATTTTCTTGTGTGAGATTTATAAAATTTACTATCTTCTTATCATAAACTTTAACGTGAAATCAATAAAAAATAATTTTAGTAAGTTAATAGAATATTAGAAAATATAAAAATACTTCATTTGACTCTTTCTTTGTAAAAGAAAAGAAAAGAAAAGAATTCTTGTTTTCTAATTAATAATTTTTGTTCAATGAATAAAAATAAAAAACAATCAATAATGGGAGGAAGCTTTTAGGAGAGAAGAAAAGATAAATATAATTATTAAAAATATACAATTTTGTGTAAAAAAATTAAAGTAGAAAATAATTATGTAAAGTGATGCAACGATCTAATATATTTTTCTCAATTTAAATTTAGAATATATTTATTTAATTTTAATCATGTTTTTGTGAATATTGATTTATCATTTAAAATATAAACAAACTAAAATTGCTCTAATATGTTTTCTAAAAAAATTATAATTCAGATGAAAATATATATTTACTAAAAAGATGAACTAAAAATAATAAAACCTTTAAACCTTTGATGCAAGCTTTTATGCATTTTTAATATTATGATAATATTATTTTAATTTTCTAAAAAAACTTCCTCTAAATTTTATAAATGTTAAGTGCATAAGAAATACAAATATTAGAGAATTTTACTAAACCAAGAAATATAAAACATTAAATGAATTTTCAAACAGCTTTATTAAATTATTCTAAAACATATATTTATGTTGCTTTGTTATAAATTTTCAACCATTTTTGAAAAATACCTTATTAATAATTTTATAGAATTTGTTAAAATATTTATAATGGTAAACATTTTCAAGTAGCTTTATTAAATTATTATAAAGGATTTATTTATGTTGATTTTTTTAATTATATCTCAATCATATTTGAAAGTAAAAATTATATTTAATAATATTATAAAATTTATAACAACGTTCAAAATGCCAATTTTTTTTAACTAAATTAATTCCTCTAAATGAAAAGAACAAAAAGTATATTTAAGAAATCTGAAAAGAAAATAATATAGAGGGATAAAATGAAAATATATGTTTATTTTTAGCTGATGATGGAGATCTGTTATAAAAAATAAATCTCACTGAAATTTTTGAAAAAGGAGGAGGCGTCTCTGTTTATGTCATAAACCTCCTTGGTTTATGTAATACATAATTTAAATATTAACAAATAAATGCAAACTTATCAATAAAAATTCCTAAATAGAAATTTATAAACAGAAACAAGATGTTAAATATAAATATATACTTCAAAATTCAAGTAAATTTTAGCTAAAAGAAATAACATATGTTAATTCAATAAAATATTATATACCTTCAAAATTTATTTTTAATGATGACTAGCTATGCTATATAATAGAACGCTATAGTAATGTGATATAATTTATGCATTAACGGAATGATGTGCCATGTTGTTGTTTAGTAAACTAACTCTCTCTCTCTCTCTCTCTCTCTCTCTCTCTCTCTCTCTCTCTCTATTGATCTCAGACCTAATTAGCATGGCTTTTGGAGCTTCTCAACGCATAAACATATATATATATAAAGACTACTTATAAATAAAATAAGTAAATTTATATGATTAAAATTTATTATGTTGACTGTATAAACATATCAAGTTATATTTTTGTAGTTTGATTTGAGGAAATTAATACAACTAATTGTAGAATAATTCATCTTCTTCATTGCAAGGATTAGGTAAATCAACCTCAAAAGTAGTCAAAAAGAGTATTCAATACTCAAAACTAGAAATATGAGATATTAATTTAATTTTTTAAAGGTAAAGACGCGCCTTTGATATTTTCATAAAGTTCAAGAGTGTTCCGATACTCTCTCTCTCTCTCTCGCTCTCTCTCTCTCTCTCTCTCTCTCTATATATATATATATATATATATTTTTTTTTTTTTAGTTTTTTTTTTTATATATTTTTTTTTTTTTAGAGTTTTATTTAATTTTGAGGTAGGGTAGTAATGATGTATGAAGTTTTTGAATTGGGCAAGAGGGAAACTGAGTAGACATGATTATATATTAGGTTATGATGCACGCTATATTTAATTATAACATGTTTGGGAAAGATGCCTAACGTGGCCTCTCCTTTTTTTTTTTTCCCTCATTACTAGAGTCATAATAGGCCAACTAAATCAAAGAATATGCTAGGGGTAATTATACTTAAATATGAGAATTTACAAAGTACACCAGTTATTTAACAAGGTTTAACTATAAACTGCTACTTGAAAGTGTTTATTTACTTTTACATTTAAATACTGCCTTTTATACAGTAATATGTACTTATAATTGACAAATCGGGATATTCTTAACTTCTCAATTCTACCTACTTCTCTTGTAAGAAAAGATACTCATGTCTCATTAATATAATGCAAGCACAACCACCCATTATTTCCAATAATATACTATTATTCTGCACAAAGACATAGATTCTTCTGGTCAGAATAATAATAAATAATATTCTTGCATTCAAACCAAAATAAATAAATAAATTTCTCTCTAGCCTATCCATGTCATGAGTGGGAATCGGATACTCATAAATTCAATTCTAAAAAATTTGTTCACATAGTTCAACAACTTATGGATTCTGATCTTTTTCCTATGGGAAGAAATTAGATCAGTTAAAAGGAATTTGGACGTACTAATTTCTTTCTAGATCTCTCGCGACCTCAAGAACTTATTGTAGGGACGTCAAAATATGATGAAAAGCCATACCGAGTCTAGTGTGATGCAGCACAAGCCACCTCAAAATAACACCAGATTTACACCCTATGTAACCAATCATGCTACTTGTACATTTTGTTTGACATCATTGTTGATATTGTGTCACGTGTCGATATATGAATGGATAGTTTTTTAATTCAACACACTTTCCCGACAAAGTATTTTTCAATTTGTACACAATGTCATTCAAGTTGTCATTCATGGAATGTACAAGAAACTTTATACCGATGTACCTATATAGAACATAATTACATAAATAGAACAGCCATGTACCAGGTCAACCATTCATTGTCTTTCTTTTATATATATAAGCCACTTGATCAAAGAAAGCAATTACCCATTTTGAACTTGTGAAAGTACCTTCTTCATCTCCTTCATCAGCATGGATACTGCTCAATGGCCTCAGGTATAGAGATCAACCACCTTTTTAAAAAGATTAATGTAATCCATTTTTTTTTTTTTTAAAGTTGTATTGTTTTTGCATCTTTTCAAACCATGTTGTAGTTTACTTTCTCTTTTGCTTATGTTTTAAAGGAGTGAAAAAAGATCAAATCTGTCATAATTTGCTGTTTAATTTACTGTTGATGATACTTAAAAAGTGTAAAGCAACCGACTTTATTTGTTTGTTTCTTTCATGTCTGTATCTTCTTCAGTTCTTGGTGCTTATTTTTGTTAATTTGATCTTGAAGATTGAATAATTATACATATACAGTCCAGTAAGGTAGATTCAACACTTCTAGACAATAAAGTCTATTCTTATATATGTAATATTGCATATCAAATTTGAGGCTTTTTATTTGTTAGTTTTTCTTGAACTTTTAGGATATACTGGTGAAACCAATGGAGGAGATAGTGACAAATACATGCTCTAAACCTTCATTAGAAAGGAAGAGGCCACAGAAAGATCAAGCCTTGAATTGTCCAAGATGCAAATCAACGAACACGAAATTCTGTTATTACAATAATTACAGCCTCTCTCAACCAAGGTATTTTTGCAAGACATGCAGAAGATACTGGACTGAAGGTGGATCTCTCAGAAACATTCCAGTTGGAGGAAGTCCAAGAAAGAACAAAAGATCATCATCGAAAAAGATTTCTGATGGAGATCCTGCTAGATTTTCTGATTTGACAATCTCGCAGTCACAAAACCATAAAACCGAGGAACCCCAAGGAGATCTCAACTTGGGATTTTCAATCCCTCCTCATGGTTTCGAAACTTGTGCAAACATTGTCGATAGAGATAATAGTATCCCTTCTTCATCTTCCTTGACTTTGTCGAACCTTTCAGCTTTGGAGCTCTTGACAGGAATTTCATCAGGAGGCTTGAATTCCTTCTTGCCTATGTCAATTACTGATCCAACCACAGTTTACCCACCAGGATTTCCTCTCCCTGAATGCAGACCTTCTTTGAATTTCTCTATGGATGCACTTGGAAGTAATTATGGAAGTTTCCAGGGTGGGGAAGAAACAAGTGGGAAACTTCTTTTTCCATTTGAAGATTTGAAGAGTAAGACTACTGATGATGTTGAGCAAAATAGAGACCAAAATGGAGATTCAACAAAATATTGGAATGGAGTAATAGGTGGAGTTCCAGAAGGATCATGGTAAAGATGGTACAAAATAATCCAGTAATTGTATTTTATTTTCATTTTAATTCTTTTTATGATTTTATCTTAGTGTTTCATTGTGGAGTGCAGTGACTTGTTTGAATATAATAAAAAACTAACCTATAGGTACATGGGTTTCTTAATTTCAACACATTTTGCTTTATTTAGGCCCGGATTTTTGGAGGGAGATGAGCTAGTACAAATTACATAACTTGTTAAATTGTCTTGAGGTTACTTATATTTAGGGATGTCAAACGGGTCGAATGGCTCGTCAAATCCAGCTTGTGGGCGGCTTGAGCTCGTCAAATGACAAGCCCGAACCGAGCAGGGGCTCAATCACACGAGCCGAGCCCACGAGCGGCTCGTGGGTGGGCACACGGCCCACAAGCTATTTTGACAAAAGGTCTAAAGTATGCAAATTTACCAAAAAAATCACTAGCTCACGGGCTCGGCTTGGCCCACGAGCTCGCCCCCGAGCAATGAGCCGAGCTCGAGCTTGGCTATTTTTTCACGAGCCACGAGCTCGAGCCATGCTCATGGGTTAAAGGGTCGAGCCAGCTCGGCTCGGCTCGGCCCCATTGTCATCCCTACTTATACTGTATGCTTATTAGTTGATCAAGAATCGATCGATAAAAAATATTATATTTACATATATCAATTTCATACGAAAATGTTCCACTTCCAACTGCTTGAGAAGAAATAATTTTACATGTCAAACTTCTGAGTCTAAACAGTTGAAGACCAATTCAACCACATTTGTTACTTTTAACATGGACCTCTAGCTTTTTTTCCCAATAAGGTGATGATTACTTTCTCCATGCCATGTCACCTTTTCCCTTTCAATTTCACAAGCACTCTATTTGATTATTATATTACAGTCCCCCGTGGAGGAATAATCCCCTACGCATTCCATGCAGATCTAGACCTCAAGATTTGTATATGCATTCCATGTTTCATTATAGGATTATTTATGTTTAAAAATGAAAGAAAAATAAAATCTCATTTATTATATTATTTAGTGTAATATACCACAACTGTATATCCAAGATCATAAAATCTCATGGAGGCCTATTTTGGTGTTGAATTTAGTGGTTTTTTCAATTATTCTTTCCTTCGTGTGTGTACAATGTATCGAGTATGCACTTTAACATGGTGTGCACAATCTAGGGCAAGGGCTGCAAAAATTTTGCTAAATGTACACCCATCTTTACCACTTGATTTACAAAATTTACACTTGGTAAAATATCACACCACTTGACAAAATTTACACAGTTAATCCAGTCATTAAAAAGCCGCCACCTATTAATCTGTAAAGCAGGGTGTACATTTTCCCTGCACAAACATCTTAATTTTGATACTTTAATTGTTAAATAAAATGAATGTGGGGCACAGACTTGAGCATGTTGAACTAGGTCAAGATTTGACAATGTGCTTGGTGAGCATAAAGCATGTTAATTCATACCTCTATGGTAGATGTAGAAAGTGGTTTTGCAACTTAGCGACCACTAAATAGTAAATATTACACGACAATGCTACAACTCTCCATATGCAGTGAATTCTTTACAACTAATCAGTACTGAATTTGTCATCCACCATTCTCTCTACTCTGAAGAATTTGGAATTTATCCATCAAAGGAAAAAGAACAAATACCGTATACCAAGCATATACCTTACGTTAGTCTCATTCATTGAGGGGGAAAAAAAAAACAAAAGTAATGTGCGTGCATTGGGCACTTCTCAAGAAATCATAATTCATGACAACCCTATATAAAAACGAGCTTTTCTTTTTTATTTTTAAATGTTAAAAACTAAGATAGTTGCACCCCTGTAGTTTCCAAGACGCGAAGGTTCATCCACGTGCTCTAATGAAGACTTCTCCCAAGCTTTTATAGGAACTTCATCCGAAAAGTCTACCAAGATAATGTGTATTGCCCACCACACCATGGTCTTCACTGTCTCACATAGCCTAGAACTCGGAAGAATCAACATACTTGCCGGGAATATAACCATGATAATGAGTGTAAAATGATACCAGAAACAAAAAGACAATCAACGTATCATAGTAGAGAGTAACCGGTAATGGGTTTATATAATGGATGTGTACTCATTGGTTGGCATTGATTCCAAATATACGAACTTTGTGCATATGTGCAAACTTGGCAACAACCAGAATGAAAACTGCTAGTGCGTTGAAGAAGAGAATAGCGTGTTGATAGTCAGTAGTGTAAGACTATTAGGCATCTGCAATAAGAAACGATAAAATAAACATAAATAAATTCCAGTCAAAGAAATTTCGCTGAAAGTGATATGTCAAAAACCACCAGAAGCGTAACAAACAATATATATTTCTTTAGTTAAATCAGAAAAGGACATTCTATCAACCTGCTTGCCAAAGAAAATTATAAAGGAATGATAAAGAAAGCTTAAGCAACTGCATAATTTTATGGGTAGAGACATAGTGATTTAAGCAATGCCCCTGAGAATCTAATTGTTGACTGAGACAAACAGAAATGAATGAAAATGCAAGGCAAATTGCTGCATACAACAATCTTAACCAATGGGCAGAAGAGGATGGTCAATATGCAGCTTAAATTGATTAACGAGTTGGAAATTCAACACATCAGAACACTGAAATTCTTTACATATAATAAAGTACCAACCTTGTGTGCATTTTCACCATTTATTGTATCCTTCACATTAAAGTCCTCAAAAACTGAGGCTATATTAGCAAAGGTCCAACTATGAAATTGACAATGATGTAGATTTGTTCCATTCATTTATTCATTTGTCATGTATCAAGCTTCTCCACAAGAGGTGATGGTTGTGCGCTTGTGGCACTAGGGACAGAAGAAATAGAGTTAGTGTGGGTAAGGATTTGAATTGGCCCAAAGGTTAAACAGGACAAAGTGGAGTGAAGAATTTTGTCATGATTTCTTAACAAATTGAAAATTAAAATTTAAGTTCATATTTGATTAGAGTACTACGCATTCAATCAAAAATGAGCTCTAACCGAGCCAAATTGTAGTCAAGCTCAAACCGCTCAATCCCCATTCGTATATGTTCAAAGCAACCATGCACAATACGTACACATTATTTAATGAATAATTAATACCCAGAAACTTCAAAGTAGTAACAAAAATTAGCCTCACAATACACAATTTTAAAATCAAGTGCAATGTTTGGAAACCAAAATAAGAATCAAATTTACTAAAATTTTTCAAGAATATGTGACTATGTTTAAATCATGTTTGATGCTTGAATATTAAAATAATTGGGATAAGGTCGACTAATCTGATGTTGGTCTATGGTTAGGGAAAAAATAAATGGAATTACACGCAATGAAAATCAATAATATTTGGATACGCAAACTAGAGTTAAATTATTACAAGTCACGCTTGTGCAAGTAAAAGTTCATGCACACACTATGAATTGCAGATAAATCTATGCATTCACCAACTCGATCAGTTACATTACTAGCCAAAAAAGGCATGCAATAAATATCTGATGAGCCTTGGATATTGCTCCATAGGCTTACAGAATCTCAATGCTCGATGTTGGACATATTATATTCTTAAGTTCGGTCAGTGAAAAGATGTTTTTGATGCAAGTCATGAAACCATTAGACTCTATTCTATGAATTATCCATAGCAAGGCACCCGTAAATTGATTCAATCCAGATATATACATTTTGAAATAGGGGATCGACAGAATACTTACAACACCACAGGAATGACAATCAAAAATTTCCTATTGGGAGTGAGCTGCTTGCCATTTTCTATGAAGCAAATAGCTATGAAAGAATTGCGATATTCAAGAAGTTCACATCCATTCGTCAATCAACTTATCCACGTGATCTTCTGCCATAACATAATTCCACCAAATACATCAATGGGGAAAAAAACTACACTCCACAATTAAGTCATATATGATCTACATTTTAGTTGAGCGAACATCAATACCGCGCACTATACATATTCAACATGGAAAAAAGGCTACATACAAAACAATTAGTAATAATAATTAATTTTCCATTCTCTAAGAATTTTCATATTCAACTGGTACTTTTATCCACGTGCTCACCGGATTCAACCTTCTTGATACAAAACGTAAACAATATTTGTAAACATCAACAAAAATACATCTCCACATCATCGATGACAAATTTATGGCATTGCTACACACAAACAAATATAAGTACCAATGATAGTCAATGAACAAAAATTTGAAAAAAACGTACAACTGAATGGGAGAGTTGGAATGCCGAGAGGGCAACCGAAAACAGAGAGTACTACCGGCCATAAGAAGAACAATATTAGAATATAGATCGCCCATATGCCTGGGTATGTAAACCATTTCGTATTGCATTTCCGATCCATTCGAAGTGGGGTTTTTTGCCCCATTCGGGGCGGGGCCTGTCGGAGCGAGAAGGGACGGGTTTTTTTGCCATCACTAGTCGGCGCTGCACATACGTACTAATTTGCCATTTTCAAATATATTTTTTTCCAATTAGGTTTTATTCCAATTTTTTCTCGAAAATTTCCTCTTATTAATGAGTGGATAAAATGAAATTAGATTTACGTTAATCAAAGTATTTGAAATTTGATTTTCATGCAAGCAATTGGAAATTATTTCCGTGCTTATGCCATTCTACTGTGAGAAGTGTACGATTTTTCGTTGCTCAATCTGCAGGCTCGTCACCAACTTTTGGTAGCTTTTGCATTTATAGCCTCAAGGTTTTTTTTTTTTTTTTTTT